TATTGTCAATAGAGAGAGTGTTTGTTTAATTGTTTTAGGAAGATGGGTAAATGTGTTGGCAATCATGAAATGCATATTAAAACTTTGGAAAATGTATTACAGAATATTAGAATATGTTTATTAGTACTTTTATTTAAGTGATGGTATGAAACCTAAGCTTATATTAATTTGAAAATTAATTACACTTGCCAAGGAAGTTCTACAGATATTGATATTTTATAGTGAGCAAACAATATTTCTATTTTATAGATGATGAGATTTAGGGATAGATGACATGTATCTTGAATGCGTTTTCTAAAGCCGTTGGTACTGGATTCTGTTCTTCTTTAATCTTTCTGATACACTTTAAATCTTACCACTTTAGTGATACTAAAGAAATTAGAGGGATATTACGAAGTTATTGCTTGGAAACAGTCTGAGCGAATAAAAGTGTGTATGATAAAAATGTCATATTTCTCTGAAATATGACTCTAGAGAAATACTCAGTACTGTTTCAAAGTTAGACACTAAGTAGACACCATAGAGAATCAGGAAGCAGAACTTTTTTAGTTAATGCAATGAAAATGCAACACAAATCTTAAAATCCTGCAATTTTTTTCTTGTAATTAAGGATATCAACGATTGGGTTGGACCACCAAATGACAATGGAGCAACCAAAGAAGTGACAATAAATGCAGACACCACTTGTGGCAATGGCTGGGTCTGTGAACATCGATGGCGCCAGATCAGGTTGGGAGTGTCCCCTACCGATTGTGTCTAATAAGAGAATTGTTTAACTTTTTGTTTTAAATTGTTCAATACAAAAGGTACTAGCATTTCACATGATATTGTGCTTTTAGGAACATGGTTGCCTTCAGAAACGTAGTCCATGGTCAGCCTTTCTCAAACTGGTGGGATAATGGCAGCAACCAAGTAGCTTTTGGCAGAGGAAACAAAGGCTTCATTGTTTTTAACAATGACGACTGGTAAGTGGAAATCAATTAAAGTAGGATTGTATACTTTCATACTTTTACATACTTCCTTTTGCTTCCTCCTCTATTGCAGTTGAAAATATTTTCGTTAAAGGATTAAAGGAAGCACATTTACCTGATAACTGTAGGGAAAAAAAGATGATTGCTATTGTTTTTTCATTTTTATAGATTATGTTTTAAGTAGAATTTTGTTTTGCTGTTGTTTGTGGTGTACTCTTACACTGTCATATTCATATATTCTCATCATATACTCATGTGACATCTGTACAAAGCATATAAACATCCAGCATGTCTTAAAATCAGTGAACGTATGGGCATTATTAGATTCAAAATACTTTCCCCCATCTCCTAGCTGTGTATAACAACTATTTGTTTTCTGTTCTTTTGTTATCTAATCTTAAATTCTCTGCCTCTGTGTGATGAGTAGTTTCAATGCATTTTTATACTTGCTCTGGCTGATGGTTTTTCTCAGGAGGCAATTGAGTTTTGTTCTACAGTTCTAGTTTATTGCCCTTTTATTTTTGATGCGTGCATGTATTTTTGTTCTCCTTGAACATTTTCCTATATGTATACAACTATACTTACAGAATCTTTGTGTAAGTAGTTGACAGTATCAGTGGCAAGTTTCATTTTTTGCTCATTTGGATTTTTGTATTAGCTTCCTTTCTGATGCTGTGATTAAACAGCATGAGCAAGTCAACTTAAAGAAAGATTTTATTTGGGTTTGCAAATCCAGGGTGTTAGAAGGGGAAAGCAAGGTATGAGGGCAGGAGCAGAAAGTTGATGACTCACACTTTGTACCACAGTACAATACAGAAAGTGCTCACTGGAGAAGGTAGGAGTCTTCCTCTCAAGGCCTGTCTTCAGTGACACAGTTCCTCCACATCCACATTAGCTAGCCTCCCCAAACTATGCCACCACATGGGAACCATAACAAGTGATCTTTTTACATATCTATCTATATATAATAATCTATATCTAGTTCTCTATCTATCATCTATCTATCTATCTATCTATCTATCTATCTATCTATCTATCTATCATCTATCTATCTATCTATCATCTATCTAATCTATCTATCTCAATTTATGTAACTTAATGGCTAGCAAATTATAACTTATATTTACACACCACAAAGTATAGGAAATTACTCAATTTGGAGATAGACTGCTTTCTTGAATTTTTCTATTTGAATTTTATTCTTTTTTTTCCTTTTCAGGTCATTGTCAACAACTTTACAAACTGGTCTCCCTGCTGGTGCATACTGTGATGTCATTTCTGGAGATAAAATTGATGGCTATTGCACCGGAATTCAAGTCTATGTTTCTGGTGATGGCACTGCACAGTTTTCTATTAGTAACTCTGCTGAAGACCCATTTATTGCAATCCATGTAGAATCAAAACTCTAAAATTTAAAATAAATTCGTACTGAGAGCATCAATCATTTGTTTTGCTTTTCTTTTGCATAATTTAACTTTTATACTTCATTCACACTTATAAAATCTGTAACACCAATGAACTTGAATTGGTAAAAACGCATATTGAAATCAATGTAATTTTGTGAAAATTACATACAGGGATTTTAAAATATTTCAGATTATCTTTAAATT